GTGAAAAGTTACTAAAATTGTTTATATTTGTTGTGATGAAGGTTGGAAGTCACTTCCAAACTATATATATTTCTTATCTTTTTCTTTATTATTTTCTTTCTTTCTTTCTTTCTTTCTTTCTTTCTTTCTTTCTTTCTTTCTTTCTTTCTTTCTTTCCTACATTTCTTTTCCTTTGCAGTTTTTACTCTTTCTTTTTACTCTTCTTTCTTTCTTTTAGTTTGTATTATTGCAATATAATCTTTAATAAAATTATTTTAAAAGGATGAGTTTTACTATCAATATTTTTATTTCAATATTACTCTTTTACACTTTCTTCCATGCTTCCAAACAAAATAAAGCAGATAAAAATGCCATTAACAGAAAAAGAACAATGTTGCATTATTTTTTAAAAAAATATTTCCTTTTTTTATATTACCTTGCACTGTAAGGAATACAGATGCCCTGGTGAAACCACCTTCATTAGAAGCCACACAGCTGTACTCTCCAGCATCTGACAGTTTGACTGTTTTGATTTCAAGAGAGAGATTGCTCATCGTTCGCATCCTCAAGGGCTCTAAGAGTTTCACATCCCTGTTATTTCTGTGCCAGGTGAGATTGTAACGCACTGTGCTCATAGTTAAGCATGTAAGAATGGCTCTATCACCAGGAGTGACAGTAACATTGTTAGGAACCTGTATGACAGGTGGGGGTTCTGTGCAGAAGAAAACAAGAAGAAAAAGGAAAAAAAATTCATTTGATCAACAGTCAAGGAAGGAGAAGAGGATGTCTCAGTTAATTAAGCAAGAACTCCTTCATGTTTGAGTAGCCTACCATTTGTGCATTCATTGCTACTTCTCCTACTCACTCGCTTCCTTCCTATTAGTCCATCTCATGTTCTCACCTGCTGTTACCTAGCAACAGAAACATGTCTACCTCTTCCATTGGTGCATCCTCTTTCCTGCTTCAAATGCTTCCCCTACTCTTTCACTTACCTTACAGCCTACTAGTAATCATACCTGTTTCTACATGGAAGAAGCCATCTCTGCTTCCTGTTCTTCCACCATCAGAGTTTCACATTACATATTGTTTTATAAGAAAGAGTTCCTGGAAATTTTATGTGCGGCAAGCAGCTGAACCAATCAAATGATGCCTTTGGAGGCATGCAACTGTTGACAGCACCAGAGGACCACGAGAATGTTCTAGTGGCCATAAGAATGCACAAAAGCAGCTCCTGATTGGTTCAGCTCCTACCACTTATATTCCTAGGAGTTTTTTCTCTTTTAAAACGGTGCGCTTTTTAAAAAAAGAAACAAATACTCTCTCTGTAAAATCTGTTAGCAGTCTTTCAATGAGATCCAAGTTTCCTGTTCTCCCCAGCCTACAGAGACATCTAAGAAAATATATTAGCAAAGTAGCATCATAGAATGGTTTCTCAGTTCAATCATTATTATAAACACTCTGTTATTTGCATTCATTCTTCCTTACTAATTGCCTCTGGAAAGACTTAGGAAGTTATTAAAACTAAACCAAACAAACCCCATATAGGCAGTAAAATTACTATGCCTACTTTTATTCATAAGTCTCCATTTATCCTCACTTAATAGGACTTCTTTATTTATGAAGGCATTTTTTATATATTGTGTCTGTATGTTAAAACTCTTGCTGTTGAGATGACGCTGTCTCCATTTTTAAACTGTGTTGTTTTTAAAAGTTTATAGACTACTTTTTGTTATCTGCTGAGTTATATTTACCATTTCTTATAATCTGTGTGTATTATACTGTATAGTATAATATGAAACTCTCAGTCCTTCAGCTGTTTTCTTGATTTTTTTTCCCATTAAGTAAAGAAGAGGTGGGCAATCGTTCCTGCATTCCCTTGAAAGAAATGTATTGGGTGCTATACATTAATGATGGCCATAGCGTAAGTAAGCAATGGATGAAATAGATTGAATGTGCTAAATATAGGAACGGGTTGTATGCAGGTTATTTCTGAAATTAGCTGAAGGTTCACATGAGAGTAATGCTATGTATGGTTTTAGGATTGTAGGTTACCCACCACTGAGGACATCTTATTTATGAGAAATTATCACTCCAAGTGAGACAAGGGAAAATTGTGTAAACTAGGGATGCTTTAAGAATTTGATCTTTGCAAATGTTGAAATAAACTGACTTGATCCACACCTCCTATACTAATGGATAATGTATACAACGTCAGAGTTTGTATAACATGATGCAATATACCTCAGCTAAAAGAAAATAAAAGCACGTATTTGAAAAGCATAATCTGAAAATACATAAGAGCTAAGTAAACTGTCAAAAACTATGCCTTAAAATATATAATTTAATATGTGGAAATGTGAATGCATATTGATTATTGATTGACTGCATGCCATCAAGTCGACTCTTAGCAACTGCATAGATACATATTCTCTAGGATGTTCTGTCCCCAATCTGGCCCTTCAGGTTTTTGTGCATGCATTAGCACTTAGATCATGGGAAAACATGGATTTTCATGCATGTAATATGTCACCTTGAGTGCTTATTAGAGTAGAAAGGGAGGGTATACTGTATATTAGAGAAACAAATTAAAAAATGGAGATTTTTTTTTTTAAAGCAGATTGATGCAGAACCTGGATGTGTGGACAAACATGTATGAAAGTGAAACTGATGAGAAATGGAGTGATCCATTCATCCCTATCACTTATTATGATCTCTTCTGCCCCTTTCCAGCATCCCCACAGAAAACTAAGAAATGGTTTCTTAATCTGCCATCATTAGTAGTAGTAGTAGTAGTAGTAGTAGTAGTAATACTATTATCATTAAATTTATTTTATATATAAATAATATATCATATATATTATTATATATTATTTATATAAATAATAATAATATCTATTATTTATATATGTTCTATGTGACAAGAAATGTGACTTGGCTGCAGATAATAACCTGGGTTTTTCTTGGGCATGCTTAATTTTGGAGCATCTAGTGAAAAAAACTAGTGGTTATTTTTATAAATACATGCCATGTGAATGTATATATTTATTTATTCTATATAAATATATACATATTATACACACACACACACACTTCAATCTATCATCTATCTATCTATCTATCTATCTATCTATCTATCTATCTATCTATCTATCTATCTATCTATTCCTATAATGGATTTTGGGTGCTTACAAAATATAATACTAAATTAAAACAATTAAAAACATATAGAGTAGTCATTGATTATGCCACTTCCTCACATAAACATCTTAATTTACATGGCAAAAAGTCTATACTAGGCCTCAGAAGTTTCAGTAGAAAATACATTATAATCTGACTTTTTTTATAAAATCACATCACAGTCAATACATGTGAAAAGTGATAGTAAGTGGCAATAACCTGATACATCCAAAAATGTCTCTGCACGTCCGGTTCCTGCAGTATTGCTAGCAATACATTCATAGTAGCCCTCATCCAACAGGGATACCTTGGCAATCTCCCAATTTACAATAGCAGATTCTCTGCAACACAATAACAGCAAGAAAATATACAGGGTTTCCATTAAAGGTTTCCATAACCTTTAGATTGCAATTTTGTAACTTTAATTGATTTTAACTGTTTTGTAAACCACCCAGAGTCATTTCAATGCAATGGGCAGTGACAAATTTGATAAATAAATAAATAAATAAATAAAAATTATCTTAGAAGATGCACAGATAACACTGAAAAAACCCCAAAAACATAATTTCTTTTGCTTAACTGGTTTTATACCAATATATACGTGTTTATGGCTTTTTTTTTAAATCACATTTTTACATATTTTGCTAATTACATCAATCTTATTGTATTAATTAGGCTAATAATAATGTATTATTAATACATTATTAATAATAATTTTTATTTAATATATTCTTACTATTTATTACTCTGAGAATGAGTATGGACTTAAAAAACCATTTTCCTCTTGCATGCACTACAATTCACACCATTTCTAGTCCAGCTATTCTTTGCAATGTGCTATAAGAGCACTGAACTTTCACCATAATTTTACTCATGCATAGTGAAGGTGACTGTACCTTGTACTATCTCTTCAATTAAACTGAGAGGAAATTACTTACTTGAAAAACTGTTCCATTCCCAGCTTAATTCCATTTCTACTAAAATGAAGAGTAAAAGGTATGAGGCTGGCTACATGACAAGAAATGCGACTTGGCTGCAGATAGTATCCTGGGGTTTTCTTGGGCATGCTTACTTTTGGAGCACCTAGTGAAAAAAACCCGAAATGGTTATTTTTATAAATACATGCCATGTAAATGTATTTATTTATTCTATATAAATATATACATATTATACATGCACACATGTTCAATCTATCTATTATCTACCTATCTATCTACCTATCTATCTATCTACTCCTATAATGCTAAAGATTAGAATAAATGAACCACAGGGCTGGAGAACCCCAAATCATTATTACTGAATATGTAGAGAAAAAAACATTCCCCCCCCCTGCCAAAAAAAAAAAAAAAGCAACCTTAAAATAATTACCAGGAATAATATTAGAAAATGAAACACTTGAAACTCTCTGAAAGAGGTAACCTTCTTTGTCGTAGCCAGTTATTTTAAGGAAGAAGGCTTCATCTGGTGGAATAAAGTCAGAGATATTCCAGATTCCATAAGGGTTCCTTTCAGGAAACGATTTCACAGGAACAGTCTTGAGGGGGTCTCCAGTGACACTTAGCAGTTCTAGACGATCTACTCTAGCTGGAAAATGGATCCCTGTCGTATTGAGCAGAATGTAGGTAGGTATTCCTGTGGACCAAACACAAATTAAGAATTACACCAATTTTGCCTTTTTTCATTTTTATCAGGCAGCATAAGCCTCTGTTTTGTCCCTTTCAGAACTCAGTATATTTTTATTGCTCTATATCAGAGTGGGAAATCTGCAACCTCTGTCCTAAATCTCTTTTTTGCCTCACCAAGCCACTCTGACTATGTTGCTGAATGTTGATGGCAGGTTTGCTAAAAATCAGTCGCAATGTGTTCTGTCTTTTTGAGGTAGGAATGACACAAAAAATATAATATACACTTCAGTATAAACTTAACACAGTTAAACAATACAAAGAAAATCCTTAACCTTCCTTCTAAAAATTCAACAGGCAAATCCAAGCCCATTAAGCTGCATGTGACAATACTGTCTCCTTTGCATTATAAGCCCACCCTCTGAAGTCCTTATTCCCCCAACCTCTGAAATGTTGGCTCTCAGTACTCGAAGCTGTCCACTCAGAGAAAACAAAAGACAGAAAAAGGAAACAGCCATATGGGCAAAACATACCTCTCTTGATTTGGGAGGAAACAGGTCCATGAAGTCAACAGAAGTTGAGCTTAACTCAAATGAGACTTTGCTTTTATATTTCATGAAATACTTTAACCTCTATTAGTTTAGGGAAGTTTAGGAAGGCTCAGTAGTACTATTTAAGATGACTCCTCTAGGAAAAGTTTTTCTCTCCTGGCTTTCTCTATCTATCTATCTATCTATCTATCTATCTATCTATCTATCTATCTATCTTCTATCTAGCTATCAAATCTCTGGCTATCCCATACTTTGCATTAGTTTCTCATAAAAATGATCTAATCTTCCATTTGTTTGGCTAATCTTTACAGCATTAAACAGGGCTGGGAAATGCTATTCTATTAGAAGAAGGACACAATTCAATATAACTTCAAGGCCTTAGAGAAGACCTACTGAAGTCATAATTTGTAATCTAAAGCCAGTTTCCACAGTATTCGGCTGGACTGCCATTATTAGAGCTGTTCACCATTAGTTACAACTAAAAGAAATAAGTAATATTCACAGAATTTTGAAGCAGAAAAATATCCTGTATCCATTTACAAGTTCAAGTCAAGATTGTTCTTAAAATTGAACCCAATTCATTGGAGAAAATAAGACCAAACATTTATCAACATATCTAATTCTATGCTCTACTGAATAATGAAATGAAGTCATTCAATAATAACTTAAACTAGCAACAGTTCTGTAAGGTAAATACTATTCAGATGCAAGCTAGAAATAGTAACTAACCTTGTACTGGTCTGGTAGAAGTCATTTTGAAATCTAGGGTTGGTGTCCTGGAAAATCCAGCTCTGAAGTCAATACTGCTAAGCCCAGTGATACGAATAGAGTGCCGTCCACTACTTGATGCCTACAAAAAGATTGGTGAAGCTATTTCAATGTCATAGTATGAAGGTTTGTGATCCACAAAATTTTATTATAAATTTAGTCTGTAATTCTAGTATGTAAGCAAATTCCACTGAAACAATGGATTTTCCATTTCATGCACAACCCAATGGCCACAAATGCTCTTATTTAAAAGCTGTTCAGTGCTGACACTTAGCATATTTAAGTTTTAGGACAACTGTAAAACCTGGCTGTTAGGAGAACATTCAGATGGGAGCTGCTATAAGCTGCCCTGGATTGGGCTTAGATGTTTATTGTTCTTTATTGGATGTGGTCATTTTTCATCCATTTTTTCATCCATTTTAGTTTTGGTGCTGTTATTTGGTTCTTTTATTATACTGATTTACTATTTTAAGTTCCTTACTGAAAGAATAGTTCAGAGTTCTTCTAGACTGGAGCAGTATATACACCCCAGTAAATAAATAGTCCAATGCATGTCAAAATATGCATCAGATTTCTAACATTTCCTGGTCTGTTAAGCAATATAAAACTTGGCAATAAAGCCTTTGGAATAAGGCTGTTTAGAAGTCAAATAAATAGAAAACCTGCAGAAACCATATATGAATTTCCATAATAAAGAATTTTAATTACGAACCACCCACTCATAAAGTTCTCAAAGCTCCGCATTATTGAAAGAAAAGCAAAACAAGTTGGAGGAAGCCACCAGATATTCAAAATATACTACAATAGTCATAATCCTGGATAATGAAATATAAATAATCCTCATGTATGTAGCACTAAAGTTGATGCAAATCCTGCAATTCTGGGATAAGTAAGCAGAACTGGGCCTCTTAAAAAAATTGAGTTTCTTGGGGTGGGGGTGGGGCAGTAGCCATTTGCTGATTTATCCAAAACTTTAATTCATATGATTCACACCAGGATAATGAAATATAAATGTCAATCTATACAGTGACCCAACTACCAACACCAATTAGAACTGGCCTCAGAGGAAAGAGGAGAATCACCCCAAAACTGTGCCTCCCGCTCCCAGTCCCCAAATAATCTGCTTCCTTTATCCATCGACATACTAAAAACAAAGTGTGGCTTTCTTTGATAGGGCTGAACAAATAACATGTATATGCATGCAGTGAATTAGTAAAATGGTAAACTGCATAAACTGACTTGCAGTTTATAAACTGCATAAACTGCAAGTCAATAAACAGATCATGTATAATTAAAATTAAAATAAATTAAAATTTATTTAAAATTTAAAATAAATTAAAATTTAAAAAATAAAATTTAATAGAAGATAAGAATACTACAAGATTTAAAGAAATATGGCAACCAATATTAGACTACCTGTATACAGCTGAAAAAAGTGAAGAGATGATAATGGGATTTATATACTAAGGAATGAGACAAATAGAAATAATAGTAAGATAAAGGGGAAAATACAGAAGAGAGATTTTCAAAGATAAATGATTAGATATCTATAACTGTGAGAGTCGAAAACCGGTTTCCTCTTTCTCTTTCTCTTTCTCTTTCTCTTTCTCTTTTTTCTTTTCTTTTTTTTTTCTTTTCTCTTTTTCTCCTTCTCTTTCTTTCTTTTTCTTTTTTTTCTTTTTAGTATATTGTAAATGGTAATGTAATTGGAATTGCAATAATTGTAATTGTATTAATTCTTGTTTCTTTTTATTCAGTGTATATGTATATAATAAAGTTCTTAATAAAAAAAAGGATCATGTATAATTAGAATTAA